TGTTGAATTGTGTACTGGACTTGTGGAGAGGCAAACTGGGTTATTTGACTATTAAACATATTATACTCATATCATTTAATGTATATATTTGAACTTCTGGCCGTAAAATCCGCCATTCCCATTCTTGACCCTTACATATATTTTTTTTAAGTTTTGTTTTGCACTCCTAAATCAAACAAATACAAATGGATGTATGGATCTATTAAAAAGGGTATTATATGCCAACAAATTTATTGTAGTAAAAATGTAGAGCTGATTGCAGCACAAATAGATATAACAGATTCAAAGTCCTTGATAATTGTTTCAGTTTATAGACCACCAAGTAAATCTGACATAAACTATTTTAAACAGATGTTATTAGAATTAAATGATTTAAAATTAAAGTTTAAAAATTCAACCTTCTGGATAAGTGGAGACCTTAATCTTCCTGATATAGATTGGCCATCAATGACAATAGAGGGCAAAATGTACCCGAAGGAAATGAATGAAATCTTTTTAGATTTATTAAACAATCTAGGTATGGATCAGTTAGTAAATTTTCCTACCAGGAAAGATAATATTTTAGACATCTTTTGTACCAACCAACCAAATCTTATAACCAAAATTAAATCAATACCCGGTATATCGGATCACAACATAGTTTTGGTTAATGCCATTTGTAAGCTTAAAAGAGCTACGCAATGCCCCCCATAACATTTTCTTATGGAAGAAGGTAGATTTAGAAAAAATTAAAAACATTACCAAATCATTTATATATGATCTGCTAAGCCAGACCACATTAGAACTTACTATAGATCAGTGGTGGATTAAGTTTAGAGATGGTATAATAAAAATCATCAATGAAAATATACCAAGTAAAATGACAAAATCTAAATATACAAATCCCTGGGCAAATAAAGAAATTAATAGTTTATGTAAAAAACAAAGACGAGCATTTAATAAAGCTAAAAAAAACTGGGAAACAAATCCACAAAGATAAATACAAAAAGCTTAAAGCAATAGCTCAAAGATAAATTAGGAAAGCCCAAAGTAAATAAATGGAAGAAATCATAAGTCCACAACTTAAGGAAAAACCAAAATCATTTTGGCAATACATAAAAGGGAAAAAGACTGAAACATCAGGAGTCTCACCTTTGAGAGGTAAAGATGGATTACTTTATAGTGATTCACAAACACAATCAAATATTTTAAATGAACAATTTAAAAGTGCATTTACTACAGAAGATAAAACTTCAATGCCACATAAACCTCAAAGTCCCTACCCCACCATGCCAGATATAACCATTAATATCAATGGCATAATTAAACTCCTTAAAAATATAAACCTCCATAAAGCTAGTGGGCCTGATAATATCCCTGCAATTTTCCTTAATAAACTCTCGGAAGAGATATCCCCCGTCCTTGTATTCTTTTTTCAAAAATCCATAAATGATGGAAAAATCCCAGAAGAGTGGAAACAGGCAAATTTTGTGCCAATTTTTAAAAAGGGAGATAAGCATAATGCAATTATCTATAGACCGGTTTCTTTAACGGCTATAATATGTTGTAAGGTTTTAGAACACGTCTTAACAAGTAATATTAGAAAACATTTAGATTTAAATAATATTTTAAATGATTGCCAACATGGCTTTAGGAGTAAACGTTCCTGTGAAGCACAACTTGTTATCAGCATCCAGGACATAGCCAAATACTTGGCAGAAGGTAATCAAGTTGATGCAATACTTTTAGATTTTTCTAAAGCTTTTGATAAGGTCCCCCATGAAAGATTAATAACAAAACTTAATTATTATGGTATACGTGAAAATAACTTACTTTGGATAAAAGATTTTTTGTCAAACAGGCAACAGCAAGTCCTGCTTAACGGTGTTCAATCTTCCAAATTAGCTGTTGACTCTGGTGTTCCTCAGGGCACAGTATTAGGCCCAACTTTATTTTTGTTATTCATAAACGACCTACCTGAGCATGTCTCCTGTAAGGTTCGTCTTTTTGCTGACGACTGTTTACTTTATGAAACATCAAATAATATAAATGAGTGTCAAGCACTCCAAAAAAATATATCAAGCCTTGAAAATTGGGAATCTGAATGGCAAATGAAATTTAATCCTGAAAAATGGTATGTCATAAATATTTCTAAAAAGTCGATAACTAATTTATGTCAATATAAATTACATAACCATGTACTTGAATCTGTCAAAGACAGCAAGTATCTAGGAGTTACAATAAGCAATGATCTTGATTGGGGGCCCCATATTAATAATATAATTTCAAAGGCAAATAAAACACTAGGTTTTTTACGTAGAAACATGAAAAACTGTACACGTAAGGTTAAAAACCTTACGTACACATCACTTGTGCGTCCGACCGTCGAGTACTCCTCACCAGTTTGGGATCCGTACAAACAAAGCCAAATAAACCAAATTGAGCAGATACAGCGTAAGGCAGCAAGATATGTTTTTAATGACTATAACGATAGATCACCAGGCGCTGTCACTGGTATGTTAAACAAACTAAAATGGGAAAACTTGCAATCCCGTAGAACAAAAGCTAAGCTTGTCTTGATTTATAAGATTAATTGGGGGTTGGTCGAAGTCACTAATGACGTCCTGACACAATCTGACAGGCGAACTAGAGGCCTACATAAATTTCGACATATATATACAAATAAAGACAAAGTACTATTGCTGTCTGGAACGATCTCCCAAAAACAATTTGCATGTCACCCTCCCTAGAATCCTTCAAAGGTGGTATCTCCACCTTAACATTTGGAGGTTCTAGTCTGACTAAATAATCAGTGTATTTAAGCCACTGTACATAATGTGAATATGTTTAACATTAAGCTACAACTAATGTTATTTTAAATTGTAATTGAAATGTGGCAAATATTTTATTTTATTATAACAAAATTTTCGACATCCATTTGCATGTACATAGCGCCACAATTCCGGGATATTCCACACTCCGGCACCGGAGTCTTTCCCGTACCAGGAAGAAGAAGAAGATCTACATAAGGCCAATGCGCGTCTTAAAAAAATTGGAGTCGACGTTTAACCGTTCGCTTCATATTGTATCAAACACCACAGAGCTAAACTATACTACGCCGGGATACTTTTCAATGCAATTGCATTTTGAGAAAGTCCACATTTAAATCTTGTATCGGTATTGGTATTTAACATCAGCACAGTATTTAAATCCCTTTCCTAACACGTCTATTAGGATATAAAATGAATAGTAAAATTATTATAATGGCAACTTTGGTTAAGGTAGTTTATGTGTTTGAGCTTTTGATTTTGCCATTTTATAAAGGACTTTCCGTTTTGAATTTCCCTTGGAGTTCGGAATTTTTGTTTTACATTTTACATCGCGATGACCATGAGGTCATTTCGATGTATTGCTATCGCCTAAATTTCCATTATGCAAATTAGTTTTGGGTTTTCAACCGATCTATAAAAATTATAGATCCGCGGTCATTATCTAGTGCAAAATAACATTACTTATCGCTTGTTTCAAATTCATTTTTTCTATGGATACTCCTATACATATTTTTATTAAAACACAAACTAATAATATGAAAATGTGTTGTCGTTAGTTATATATATAAAAGTAAATAATCATTGATGATATCTATGCACACGTACCGAAAAATTGTGTTAAAGCTTACGGAAAAATATCTCAAGAACGTTTTGCGACACTCCCTGCAAGGACCGATAACTCTGTTATTGTTTTGCGGGAAAATATGAATGGCTTCTCATATCCAATCTTTTAGAAAAATAGATTTTTTTACAGAAGAGTGTCCACCATGCACTTGCACTGCACTATAATTAGAATAGTAGAATAGAATGATATACAAATAGATGAAAATTATATATACATGCAACCGTAATATTAAATATAATATATAACAACAAACCAGTGTATACTCTGGGACTATTATTATATTAGTATTATAGTCCCAGGTATACTGATTTGTATCACTACAATATAATAGTTATTACGGTGCGGTTGAATTTCCTGTCATTTATTCATCATCCATGTACGAACTTGTATCAGAAAAAAATATTTCTCTGTAAAGTAACCTCAGTTTCAGGTATAGAGATGTGATCTATTTCTGTGACATGTGCTTTTGACCATCCACAAGAAGCTGCGGTCATCCGATGTTCAGTACTTCAGTACTTTGATTATTTTCTTTATAGTATAAATTATACCAAGCATGCTAATAATGTGATGTAAAAATTACAAGGTAGTGTTGTGAAGTACAATACTCTAATTTTTATTCTCTTAAACAATTTATCAAAGGAATTCAAATGACAAAGTTTATTCTATCTCATTGGTGTTCATTGGTATATCTAGGTTTTTATATGATTGATTACTACTACTTTTGTGCCACTTAATTTTTCTGTCCAATTTAAACAAATGTTGAAATAGTATGTAATGTATGCATGCTCTTATATATTGTATTGTTAAATATGTTAAATGGAGAAGACTTCATAAGTCTGATTGACTTGTGTCTCATCCAATTTGTGTTTATGCAAATAAAATATGTTTAAACTAAACTATATGATCATTGATTGATTGTTGTTTATTCAGCGTCATGTGGAAATCGGTGTTCATTATGGTTTGCTGTATTTTGTCTCAAAAAGAAGATCTGTAAAGAAGTACACACAAATCTGTAAAACAATATAGACTGGGTAATTGGTTCAATAGTATTGAATAATAAAATACGGATTCTGTTTCGGTCGTTTGTCGCGATACGCTTGTTCGGCTATAATCTGCATATCTCTAGTTATTCTCTTAAAATATTGTATCATCTTTATCAATTACCTACTATTGAATATGAAGTCAACACATGCATCAAAATAATTAAAACACTTTATCAAATGACAAAAATCTGAATTTTAAATGGCCACATATCAATTATAGTTCACAAAAACCTCAGTATACATGACATACATTATACGTAAACGTAATTTTCTGTAAATCTTAATAACTGCGCATTAAATAATTTGTACAAGTTCGGTATTGGTAATAACTGCGCATTAAATAATCTGTACAAGCTAGGTATTAGTCATACTTTGAGTTTTGGACAATGCTACAAATATTTAGACGGTAAAAATATGGGAGATATTTCAAGAGTCCAACATCATGAAATGTAAGTTAAATTTTAAAACAAGTATAAAGTATCGATTTCAGTTCGCATAATACACTTGATATTATTACATTATAATCTTACATTTGAATTGGTTTTTTTAATGTTTTGTTTTGTAGCGGCCTTCTATAGCTTGCAGTGAGTCAAACTATTTTTTTGTCTGATTGCTTATATTCACGTCACTTGGTCTCTAATGGATAGTTGTCTGAAAATCATACCACATCTCCTTATTTATATTAATTCGAAGTTTTTAAGTTTAAGTCATAAACGTCTATGTCACAGATTTTGGTAAAACTTTGCGTAAAACTCTGGCTCATTGAACTATAACTGAAAATGCGAAAAATAATACATTATAAGTGCGTGATAAGTAAACATTGTGTGAGGGAATTCGATGTTTTCTACACAACGGTTTATTTCAACGCACTTTATCACAATACCACTATACCAATCAGAATGAAATTTTTTGCAGTATTTTACGAAATGAGTTTACTTTGTATTCATGTATAATTATTTGTGAAAAAATAAATGATTAAAAAGGGCGAATTTTCTGTATAAAGTTAATAATTATGTTTATTTTTTCTTAAAACTGAATTATAATTGCTTTTTTTTGCATATTTTGGCGTTAATATTGATTCACTTATAGGGTCTTTGCATCGGCACTAAACACATTTATTTAAAAACCAGTTGTTGGCATGACACGGGTTATGTTCTTCTCATATATGTTATGATGGTATGATACTAAACCCCTAACGGGAAGGATTGTGCCTGATATTCATATGATGAAGACATAATCTTTCAATCAGTTTAATTGAAGTCTGGAGCTGGCATGTCAGTTAACTGCTAGTAGTCTGTTGTTATTTATGTATTATTGTCATTTTATTTATTTTCTTTGGTTACATCTTCTGACATCAGACTCGGACTTCTCTTGAACTGAATTTTAATGTGCGTATTGTTATGCGTTTACTTTTCTACATTGGCTAGAGGTATAGGGGGAGGGTTGAGATCTCATAAACATGTTTAACCCCGCCGCATTTTTGCGCCTGTCCCAAGTCAGGAGCCTCTAGCCTTTGTTAGTCTTGTATTATTTTTAATTTTAGTTTCTTGTGTACAATTTGGAGTTTAGTATGGCGTTCATTATCACTGAACTAGTATATATATTTGTTTAGGGGCCAGCTGAAGGACGCCTCCGGGTGCGGGAATTTCTCGCTGCATTGAAGACCTGTTGGTGACCTTCTGCTGTTGTCTGTTCTATGGTCGGGTTGTTGTCTCTTTGACACATTCCCCATTTCCATTCTCAATTTTATTCCTTTTTACATGTACACACAAGTGTACATTATCTTAAATGAGACGAGTCTATATTATATTTTATCAATGAAACTAAAGGTATGAATTGCGACTTATTATATTTTTACAAAATTTTCCACATATACATGTAGATTAGATAAATTATTTTTAATAGCCTATTCCCGAGAAAAAAAGAGTAAATTAACAAATCATATGTTTTATTCCATCAAACAAGTCATTTTTCGAAGAGAAATACCGAAATATGTGCTACGTCAGATAAAATTATTATTTATCTTAACAAAAAGACATTTTTCAGTGTCATTAAAATTTAATAATTACAATTAAACCCAAATAAAAGTAGTCAGTATATAAAGTCATAATATGTCCGATCTGCCTAACTTTTGGACATCAAAGTTAAATACGATCGTTTTAGGGTCAATTTCGTGTACCTTACAAAATCTTGTTAGGCACTATGATCTCTTTTATCATCTGAAATATTACTTATTGAATTCTGTCAAAATATGTGAAAAATTGTATAGAAAGCACATGAAATGCATTATTTTTTCCATTTGCAGTTATTATAATTCAACAAGCAGAGGTTGTTGCCAAATTTTAGCAAAATCTGTGACATAGCCCATTAACTGTTCCTTGACCTGAACACAAAATTGTCTTTTTTTTACTTTACTATATTCCATTAAAAAAGGGTTTGATTTATTCTGGTGCTAAATTTACACCCTGTTTTTTAAATTTTATTAATAAGGTTAAAAATGCAATAACCATAAAACCTTTGAATGAAGGCAAAAGTCGACTTGACCTTGGTCCTCCTTCTAGTACTTTCAACTTTATATGACTAAAATAACATTAACATACCAACTGTAATCCTAAATCTCAGTCTTATAATCAAAATGTGTAATTTCATTAACTGTAACGTAGTCAAATATGATTGCTCAGTACTATCCAAATATTGACAAACATGCATGTTAGGGAGAGGGTTGATCGCTCATGAATATGATAAACCCCGCCACATTCTTTATATGCCTGTCCCAAGTCAGGAGCCTGTTGTTCAGTTGTTGTCGTTGGTTCATGTCTGTCATATTTGTTTTTCGTTAATTTTTTTGTCATAGGCGGGGTTATCATCCCGAGATACATATCAACCCGAGGGCATGATATGGGTCGAGAGTAATTACAAAGACCATGTATTAATCAGTTTGCCATGTACTTCCGATTCAAGGTTCCACGTTAGTAGAACAGCAAAACACTGATATCTAATCTGTTATTTTTCATGTAATAACCAGACGAATAATGGAAAGGAATACCAGTGTGCAAGTTAACGTATATATTTGAAATTAGGACTTTCCAGATTCATATTTGACAGAAAAACCAGGTATAAATTAGGCCGTTAGTTTTCTCAATTGAATTATTTCATATTTTTCATGTCGGGGCCTTTTATAGCCGACGATACGGTATGGGTTTTCCTCATTGTTGACGGCCGTACGGTTGCTTATAATTGCTTACATCCACTTTATTTGAACTTTGGTGGATAGTTGTCTCATTGGCAATCATAACTCATCATCTTATTTCATAAAGATACCATGTCCCGATTGTTCTGTCACATTTTGAATGTTCATAAGAATAAGAAATATCCGTAAAAATTCTAATTTTGGCACATATTTTAAAGTTCATATCAAAATAAACAGGACAAAGTTCAAAAAGAGGGACGAAAGATACCAGAGGGACATTCAAACTGATAAATCGAAAATAAGCTGACAACGCCATGGCTAAAAAAGAAAAAAACAAACAGACAAACAATTGCACACAAAACACAACATAGAAAACTAAAGACTAAGCAACACGAACCCAACCGAAAACTGAGGGTGATCTCAGGTGTTCCGGAAGGGTAAGCAGATCCTGCTCCACATGTGGCAACCGTCGTGTTGCTCATATTAGTACAAACCCGGTAAATAGTCTAATTCGGTGAAAAGGGAACGGGATTGTAGTTACGACATTAGGAACATATCCGCTATCATCTATGAAACGGATATTCCATAACGGTCAACCAACTCGTGATGGCGTCCGTAAAATTTACGAAGGGATGATTTCAACCTCACCATTTGGAACTCTTGGTTTAATAGCTTCCTTGTGAGCAGCAACCCTCTATCAAGGACATCATGATAGGAAATACAAGCCCGGGAATATCGTATCAATTGGGAGATATATACTCCGTATGCAGGCGCTGCTGGAATGTTGCTACACAGAAATGGAAAGTTCACAATTGGAAAGCTGAAATCATCTCTTTTGTCGTAAAGTTTTGTTTTCAACCGACCCTCATTGTCAATTTCTAGATGTAGGTTAAGATATGAGGCAGACTTAACTGTATCTGTTGTATCCTTTATCTTTAGTTCGATTGGATAGATGCGTTCAACATAGTCACCAATATTATTTAGTGAGAGAACATCATTTATATAGCGGAAAGAAAAGTAAAAGGATACTGCTTACTTTTTTTCTTTCTTCCTAAGAAGCTCCTGTATGAAGTCAGCCTCATAAGAATAAAGGAACAAGTCGGCAAGAAGAGGGGCACAGTTGGTTCCCATGGGTATGCTTATAGGTTGTTGAAAAACACGTCCTCCAATTAAACGTAACAAATATGTAGTCAATAAAGAAATCAAGCATCTTGATAATGTCAGTTTCAGAGAATTTTTTGTTTGAATCAGTGTGATTTTTTACGAAGTAGGATTTATCCCTCCCTAGGACAAGATACTTGTATCTACGTTGGCCTTTCATTTTTATGAAACAAAGTAATACCAACTCTTTCAATTTGTCTTTTAGTTTGGAATGGAGAATACTTGTGTAAAGTGTAGAAAAGTCAAATGTTTTAATACTATTGCAAGATGAAAGAGTCTTAGATTGTATATACTCTAAAAGATCTTTGGATTTTTTTTGTATCCACATCTAATTCACGCCACATCTGGAATAGGCAGTCTCACAATAAATTTGAAGCCCGGCTTTGATTGCTGATAAAATTAATGTTGATAATTTAGAAAGAGGTTTCGTGGAGCAATTGGAAGACCTAGCAATTTACCGTTGTTTGTAAGGACACTTAAGTAGTTTAGGTATCCAATACAGTGATGGAAGATCCAGTTCGTCATCTTTGGTAAAAACTCCAAAGGAACATAGAACAGACCTATGATTATCCAGGATTTCCTCTTTAGTAAGTGTCGTGGGGGTATATGTTGAGTTTCCAAGTGAATTGTCAATACCTAATTCATTTATCAAGCAGTTTATGTAATGTGATTTACACACAAAACGATGTTGTTGGGGCTTTATCTGCGGGGACAACAAAATATTTGTCATAGAGGTAGGACAAGTGTTTTACAACAATTGGTTCTTGAAAGATTGACGTAGCATGGGTATTGATAGACCCATTCAGTTCTTAGTTCTGATTTGTATCAACGACCTAACAGGCTTAATCCATTCGGACAGAGTATCTACGTATTCTTTTGCGCGTTTAACCCATTGCCTGGCATAATTCTCTACTGAATCCATCAGTATTTTGAAGTTGTGTTTCCAATTGATGGATTTAGGCTCACGATATTTCGGACCTTTGTATAACACATTTCGCAGAGAAGTGTTATTGAAAATGTTGAGGTCACCGGTAATAACGTGGCCAACCGGATTATAAATGAATAGGGAACTAGCACAGGTGCAATCAGGAGGTTTAGACTTGAAGTAGTCAATGTTGAGATCCTACAACACGTGTTTGTAATTGAAAATTTTAGTTGCAATTGGCTTGGTATAGGTATAAGAAATGATTGGTACAGACTGATCTTTAAAATAGGGAGGTATTTTCGATTGAACTAATTTATGATGAAGGATATTGCCCAAAGTTGATGTGACCACAACTTCATTGATAACTTTCGTATACAAAACTTTAACCTAAAACTTATATGTGCATGTCCCGCAAAATGTAGGTCAAAACGTCATTGCAAACTATCTAGTAAAAGACAAATTTCTAATCTGATATGGGACTTACAAACGGACGGACAGACGTACAGACAAATAACAAAGCTCCTACTATTGTAGGCGTAGTATCATATAATTTTGCTAGATTTATGATCTTTTGATGCAGTGTAATCTTCTTTCCATATTTAATTAACCTAAAGGCCACGAGGAGCAAAATCGATCAACTGATATATTTGCATATTGTTTTTCATAATTCATTCAGGCAAAAAAGGAAAAGATATAAGTTTCATGTATATAATGAATATTTTTTAAATAAACCTTCTGTTCGTGATATTAAGTGAAATATAAAAATACAAAACATTTCAAATGATAAGATACATAATATACTTGTAATGTAAAAATTGTTTTTATTGGGTTTTTAATCAATTGTATTTTGAAATTATTATTTAGGCCCTATCATTTGTGTATTATATACCACAGTTTATTAACGATGATTCCTAAACAGAACAATTTTAGATTTTTTTATTTGACTCTTTGTTTATCACGAGTGCATAATTGTTTAAGCAAGGAACAATTCTCAAGGCAGATCACAAAATCAAACAATAACACTAAGTGTGATACCAATTGTTACGGTACCTTTACAAATCTTTCTTAATACGTTTCAATTAAATTTGCAAGTTGTGTAATCATGACTGACCTGTAGAAAGTCTGTTGATTGTGGTAGAAAATTTTTCAATTTGAGGAATCGTAGAAGCCATGTGCTTGAAAAAGGTTAGAGTAATGAACCATAACCTCTTATTTTTATTTTAAATGTACCATTTTCCTAAAGCAAAATTTCAATTGTAACAAAACAATTACAATGTATGTTTAATGTTTTATATACAAATAATGAGATGTGGTATGATTGCCATAGCGATAACTATACGCTAGAGTTCAAATGACGTTTTCTATACGTTTTCATTTTAATTAACAATGGTTTGTATATTTGAAGACAGTTTGGGTCATGGAACGTAATTCAAAATAACAAATTGAAGATGTGAGATAAGCGTCCACGGGACAGCAACAAAATGACGCACACACACACAAAAAATAAAAACATCTAAAGGTCAACATACGGTCTTTATGAAAAGACTATCGTGTCAAGTGAACTGTGCCAAGATATCGAACTCCTGGTTTTTACAATTAAAAAAAAAACTGCAATTGTACCGTGTCTCATTTAAAAATAGCAGTTAACAATCATGAGGGTGCTAGTTATATGAGATACTGTATGAACTAGGATACACAGTATTTGTGCAAATATAAAAGCTGTGGGGTGCATGTGTGTTTTTTATCAGTGATATTTGGCCATTTTTAAAGCTATTCTTTTTTAAATTTAGAATAGACATAACAGTAACTGTGGAGACGGGATTTAAACTTGAGAACACTGGAATTGACGGAGAAAGTGCTGTAAATTACAACACAGGACCGCTGAAAGTATATGATAAGGGAAGACCACAAAAGACAGAAATAATATGGGAAGAGTTGACCAAAAATAAATATGAAACCCCCGGGCTTGTTCTAGCAGTAGTTGGAGACTGTGATAGCTATGTTCCTAAGCCATGGAATACTACTGCATTCACAACTGGTTTAGTCAATACTGTAAATGGAGTTGAAAGTAAGATTTTATCATCATTATGATAATATAACATTATGATACAATACCATTATGACATTTATTTTACACTCGTCGCAATGTAGCCTCTTTGAGCTGTAGTCATTTCGCAACTTTTCTACGTCTGCTCCTGAACCGCTTGGCAGAATTTTGTTAAACTTCGCAGAATCTTACTCAAATGATATACTTTTGCTCCACTGATTTGAGTTTTTCATCTTAACAAGTTTTACGGTTTATTTGTGAATGACATGGAAACGGACTTCACACTATTATAGTACACGTGTGTATCCTCCTTTCCCTCTAAACCCATAATTATTATTTTTATAAACTTTCTCCAAATCTTTACATTATAGGACCATAGACATTGTGCACCTCTTATTTAATTTATTTTGGTCCGAACTATTTTAGATTGCCCCTTGCAATTCATGACTTTGCAGGACAGGGGCATCATTTTGTGAGCTATCCTCCTAGTACCTTTAGTTCAAACTTACATGTTTTTGTAATTAAAATTGAATCGTCTCCCTTTCACTGAAACTGATATAATTTTTAGACACAACTATTATGGCACAATCAGGAAATTTGTAAATATTTGAATATGCTTTTTTAATGTATATAGCTGGCTGTTTAGGTCAACATTGATATCTTATAGACCTGTTTTTGTTTGTAGTTTCTCCGACTTCCAGATCAAAGCACTCAATATGATTGTCTACCCTAAATTGTAGTTTGTTATACTTCCTAATAATTATTCATGTTTGGCTTGGTTGGCGAATAAATCGAAAACAAAATGAATTCCGGAAGTACTTTCTGTCTTAACCATCAGTTTCGGACTTTGTGCTAACTTCTAGATACATGTTGTCAGTGTTGTCTTCCTTCTTATCTAACCAGTTTTACCTTAGAGGAGTGAGCAAATCTAATTTTTTTTTCAACTCCCAATCACAGGCGTGATAACCCCGCCACAATTTTTCTTTGTCTTTCTCAGGTCATGAACATGCCATTCAGTGATTTTCGTTGGTTGTTCTCTCGTTGTATTGTATGGTGTACCTGATTACATCATCGTCCTTTTTATTCATTTAATAAAATTAACATGTTTTAGTTGAAGCCTTGACACGCAGCAAAATAAAGTTTTCCTTTAAAAGAATATCAGATATAGCTTTTTTTTTATTATAAATTTCTACTTCCTGACAATCGTTTTTGGTTATCTATCGAATTTTGCTAACAATATAAAAATAAGGAGATGTGTTATGATAAAAGGTGAGACAACTATCCACCAGAGTTTAAATGAAGTGAATGTACGCAATTTTAGGCAACCATACGGTATTCAACGATGAGAAAAAACCCATACCGTATAGTCGGCTATACAAGGTCCCGACATGAAAAATGTGAAACAATTCAAACGAGAAACTAATTTATAACAACACAATTTACAAAAACAAATACAACAGACACGAACCAAAGTTAACCACTGAACTACAGGCTCCTGATTAGGGACAAACACATAAAGAATGTGCGCTCATCCCTCCCCTAACCTTGCACAGTGGTGTAACAGCACAACATAAAAAAAACTGCAAAAATCAGTAGCAATATCTTATGGCATAACTAAAAAAATTGGTACTAGGCACAAAACAATTAACATAAAAACAGTAGACACAAAGCACCGAAATAAGAGTACTCGCAGTAACTGAAAGCTAGTTTAAAGCCGATTACAGCTAATCAAAAAATCATGTTCTCCCAGACTTAAGTATCAGTCAGTACACATCTGACGGATTTAGCGTAAAGACGCCATTAATAATCTGAGGAACGCGTGACCTTGTGAAATGCCAAAATATAAGTAAACAGTATCGACAGGATACAGGATAATGAGTTCCCATATCTGTACATATATTGCAATTTATATCTAGTTAATTGTTTTGATTTTTCAAAAACAAAACTAATGTTAGTACCAATAAAAACAATATCTAAAGATGTTACTACTGTGTTAAATCGATAACCTATAAGAATAAGTCTATTCAGAGGATCAATTGATTTTCATGGTTCGTTTCTAAATTTACGGGCTTTATATATAACATCACCGTAACAATTAGGATGTGAAATCACATTTTTCATTAGAACTCTACTGGTACAGCCAAATTTCGCAACCCAATCATTATATCTATGAAAGAATATGGTAAATGTTTTAAAATATAATTAATTTGCGGTAACGAAATCATAATTTATCAGTTATACATAAATCACTTGCATAGAAATATAAAATGAGTAATTTACCGATGTTTATATATCATTAATCGATAATTGAAGATCCGAAAAAAAAAACTAAAATAACAAAAATACCGAACGCAAAGGAAAATTCAAAACGGAAAGTCCCTCAACAAATGGCAAAATCAAAAGCTCAAACAGATAAAACAAATCGAAAACATGTTCCTGGCTTGGTACAGGCATTATTTCCTTATGTAGAAAATGTTGGAATAAACCTGGTTTTATAGCTAGCTAAACCTTTCACTTGTACGACATTCGCATAAAATTCCATTATATCGACAACAATGTGTAAGCAAAACAAAAAGACATAATAGGTAAAAATGTCAAAAATTGGGGTACAGCAGTCAAAATTGTGTTATAATCTTAATCATTATAAAACAAACAACTACGTCAACAAAGAAAAACAAAATGGCATGAAGACACTCTATAGACAAAGCACATAAGCAAAAATGAAAGGCAGGAATACAAAAAAAATTACCATAGCACAATAACACAATGTTACAAATCATGGTAACAGACCAAAACTGAGATAATCAAATGAACCCCAAATGGAGCGTGGGGGTGCCATAATGGTTAACGTTTTAAGTTAATCACTTAGTTCTTTGATTTCAAAGCAAAACCATCAGAATCTTTTTTTGAAAATATCAACATATCAAACCTTTATATCTCATTCGAATAATCATTGGCTTAAATATATTTTGCTTAGTATTCAATGTAACATAAATCCATAATGTGTAATAAGTCGCATGTAAAATGATGTTTTCTCTTCAATCGACATGCGTTGGTAGGAAACCATTAAATGAATGCATGACAATCTTCCACTAATTTCTTATGAACTGGAACGTTCCATTGAAGTTTCAATTGCTGTGATGCTTAAAAAATGATAATGACAATTTCATATTTGCATGACATTGTTGCAGCAAATGTTCATAACTAATGCATGGCACGCCTTATTCAAAGTAAGATTGATTTTGACAAGTTGCTTTGTAACTAATTATATTTACACAAAAATGATAACCCTAAAACTGCACAAGTACCTGCAATGATAAAACTGTCGAAGTAAACTATTTTCAAACAACATCTCACGGTAGCTTTACGTGTTTAGAATCTGAACCAAACTTAATGTCTGCACAAAATGATCAACTTGATTGGATCTATAACCTTATATGACCTGAGATTCTTATTTGGTCAGCTGATCATTACTTGTTGCTCTTTGTTTGTTGTTATTGTTTTTATTTTTTAGAAAGTTGGATAATCTATAGAGGTAAAACTAGCGGAGTTAGTGCGTACATAGACAAAACATTTAAAAAGGAAACCAGAAAAAATGGGAACATTTTAATTGCTGTACAGCCAATAAAAAATCATAATGATAAAGGAAACAAACAGACAACGGAAAATTTGGAGACGGACCAGCAAAAGGAAAATATTGACAAAGGGGAACAATCAAAAGATAATGATAAGGGAAGAGAACATCAAATTCAAAATGATAAAGAAGAGAAACAGCCAAAGAAAAAAGAAATACAAAACACAAACACAAATGATCCGGTAAGAGAATAAAACAGTTTATGGAGCATTATCATGTTCCGTTAATGAATGTTTACGCATTTTATACTTTCCAATTGGCTGATTTGTTTTATTTGTTCGTTTGATCTTAGTTCTTCATTGGTCAAAATTCAATTATGTGACATGTTGCATTTTTCTAAACAGCATTTTTGCAAATTACATGGACTTGTTTGCTTTATACTCTAACTACCGTCAGTGTATAATTGAATTCTTCTTATATAATTTCATTGAGGTGTAAAAGCGTTGACCGAATCACATACCAAAAATGTGTGCATTATCAAAGTTTTTACAACCCTAGAAAATTAGAAAAAGAAGCATTCAATTCTCAGAATTATATTTTTTGCTACAACCATGAAATAAGACTTATATAAAGATGTCCGTTTGTTTTTCAACTCATTGTTTTAACATTGTCACTGATAGCGCATGCCATCATAGCTGTTGTATTTTATACGAAAACATATCTATTGGAATGCATCTCAATTGTGGCCAGCCACTCCAAGAAACATAAAAGTAATGTAATTATTCTTTAATATGAAATACACGGTGCTTCTCGCAAAGTAGAAGATGTATTTAATATATTAGGAAGGAGTTCCTGTATTTAAGGAAAAATCTTATCTGTTCAATGAAACGACATTATCCTAAACAAGTAATCATCATTGTCAGATTTTAATAAAGTTTTATTTTACTTCTTTCGTAGGTCAATAGAACATACACATGCACATTTAATTGAAGATTCAAATGTGTGTAACGATTTTGGAAAACATTATATTTTGATACAACGCAAAGTATAGTTTTCATGAATTTTGTAAAAAAATAAATAAAAAAGATACTATTTAACCCACCGTTTTCCTCGGAAAATGTCCTACCATGTCAGGAATATGACAGTTGTTTTCCGTTCGTTAATATAGTTGTGCATTTGGATTTGTCAGTTTTAATAGAATTCCTCTTTTTGTAATTACTTTGATATTTTTGGTATTGCATTGTTTAAAGGTTACTTTTAACGATATAGTGTTAAAATTAAGAGATGTGTTATGTTTGACAAAGAGACAAATACCAACCAGAAACTGGGACTGGGATGTAAACAACTATAGGTCACAGTTGAATACTGTCTTCAGTAAACAAACAACCCCATACCGTAAGCTAGAAAAGGCTCCGGTATGACAAAATGTAAAACAATTCATCGGAGAAAACCAACAGCTCAATTAATGCTAAAATTAACTAACAAAAATCTTATATGGTACAAGCAACCAATGACAACCACCGAATTACAGGTTCTGCTTTTTGCTGAAATATTGGCCTAAAATTTTGCATATCCTTGTGTTTTGACCTTTTTGTGTGTACATGTCATTGACAATAACAAGTCCTATCATAATTTTTCTTATTAGCCGGATTAAACAATTGCAACATGACATATTATTGAAGTGAACTAATCTAAAGTATTTATTTACCTCGGATACTTTATCTTTGTTAATGTTAAAGTATCTGAATTACATTCGTTAGAGTTAGAAGACATGTATATAAAAGGTAAAAAAAAAAAAAAAATATCAAACTGTAAGGAAAATTCAAATCAGAAAGTCCCTTATCGAATGGCAAAATCAAAAGCTCAAACACATCAAACGAATGAAAAACAATTGTCATATTCCTGACTTGGTACAGGCATTTCCTTACGTAGAAAATGGTGGATTAAACCTCTTTTTATAGCTAGCTTAACCTCGCACTTGCATGACAGTCGCATACAATTCCATTATATTGACAACAATGTGTCAGCAAACCAAACAGACATAATAGGTAAAAATGTCAAAAATAGGGGTACAGCAGTCACCATTGCGTTATAATCTTAATCACTATAAAAACAAACAAATATATATGTTCAACACCGGAACAATTGGATCATCATTTCGTTTCTAGATAACAGCTTCATTGGAGGAAAAACTAAAGATATTTCAAATTCACCCGGAAAACGAAAAATTAGATGAAGAATACCTGTGGTTTAATACGTATATGAGTAATCTTTTGGCACAAATTTCAAAAAGATGGACTCCTCTACTGTCATTCGAAGACAAAGACAAAAAGAAGGACATAGACAAGGACAAAACGACGGACACAGACAAGAACAAAAAGGACAAAGAGAAAGAAGAGGCCAAAGACAAAGGGAATGACAAGGACAAGGACAAAGAAAAAGACGAGGGCAAAGACAGAGGGAAGGACAAAGAGAAAGACGAGGACAAAGACAAAGGGAAGGACAAAGACAAGAACAAAGACAGTACAGCATCAAAACAAGGTAATATTTTTTTATCTTTTTTTTCAAAAATGTCTGTATAAGTTAATTTATCTTCCCAAATAATGTCAATGGATCTTCTATGTAATAAAACTTATCTGGTGATATTTTTGCCTCATATAGATTTGATTAATTTACTATGCTGAATTACCAAGGTAAGATAATGTCTTGCTATTGATTTTCACACATAAATTAGAACATGAAAATAGAAAGATATGATATAATTGCCGTTGGGACACCTATTCCTCAAAGATCAATGGACAAAAATGTGAACAATTGCAGGTCACCAGATGACATTTGACCATGATTATTATTTACAATACTACCTTTTCAATTGATTTTTATAATACGATTTATTAATTCTTGTTTGGTTTTACGTCCAGTGGCAAATATTTCATAAAATATTCCTACAATTTCACTTGGAGAAAATCCTATGTCTGAGTAGAAAGTTGATGAACCAGGGGTATGTCAAAGAACGTCTCGTCCTTTTTCTAAAAAAGGTTCATCGGAAGGTACTTATACCTTGTTGATAAATATTCCGTATCAACTTCACAAATAATACATGATGGTCTTGATGTATAGATTTTGCGTACTGATGTTGTTTATCATCTTAATAACGTGTTATATTGTTCTTTTATTTGTCTTTGTTCTATTATTAATATTACTTTTACTGTTTGGTCTGTTTTCTGTGATATCCATTTGACGTGGCTCGGTACTTATACATCCCGTCAATGTGTTTGTATTATCTTTCATTTTTACTGGTGGGTGACTTTGTGTGTTTCTTTGGTACATATGACGTGGCTCTGTACTTTTAAAGATCCCACCAATTTGTTATTGTTCTATTATAATACCATTATGTTATTGTTCTATTACATTTTTGAAAATACTTTGAACGACAAAATTATTTTACTCGCGTAGTGGTATTAACCATACGTGGATTCTTAAAAATTCTAAAGAACTTCTGGATAATTTTAAATCTCGGTCTTTTTCTGAAATTAGTTCTAACAATAACTTTTGATTTTTCAACCCTGTATACCACCTTTCCCCATGTGAAATCATAATTATGAAAATACTTTGGACGACAAAATTATTTTATATTTCTTCCAGTGTGACATTTACATTTTCTGGCGTCAAACACGACTCTACACTAAGAGTAGATGTGAATGCAGTCACAGGACTTTAAATATTTCAATCCTTTATAGGTTGATTTATAATACATATATAAGTAAGCAATGAATGTGGTTGTTATATTTGATAGATGCTTTTTGTGCTTCTTTGTTAAATGTTTGTTTGTTTTGAGATTGTGACACAGTGATGACTGCTGTACCCATATTTTGACAATGTTACCTATTATGTCTGTTTTGTTCACGCATCGTTGTAAATATAATGGAATTTGATGCGACTGTCATACAAGTGAGAGGTCTAGCGCTATAAAACCAGGTTTATTCACCATTTTCTACATTTGAAAATGCCTGTACCAAGTCAGGAATATGACAGTTGTTGTCCATTCGTTTGATGTGTATTATTATTTGATTTTGCCATTTGATTAGGGACTTTCCGTTTTGAATTTTCCTCGGAGTTCAGTATTTTTGTGATTTTACTTTTTCCTGTATATTTTCAGATTTGGAAATGAAAGTTCCTGTTTTGTTAGTTGTAGTGGAAGGTGATACGCGTACTATCCATCAGGTTAAAGCTGCAGTAAAGAAAAACATACCAGTCCTTTTGATCAAAGGTTCTGGAAATGCTGCAGATTTGATTTCGGATTACTTAAATGAACCAATTCATAGGTAAACAATCTTTCAGCAAAGTCGACACGTAAATGTACGTTATAGTTCTAAAGGTAATCAACAGCCTTTTAAGACCGATTTGAATGCTTTCTATATTCAAAAATAAATATATTATATCATACTTTCCTAATCCAGATTGCCTAGGTTTAATCATCAGTATTGATTTGATAAGTTTGTCAATGGGTCCTATATAAAGAAATGACAAATCATCATTACGAAATAACAAAACTACACCATGTAATGAAACAACTACATTACGTTAAGTCACATACACATCAAGTAATGTTAAAACCACATTGCCTAATGACACAACCACATTAAATAATGGTGAAACCACATCGAGTAATGACAAAACCATATTAAGTAATTAAGTAATGACAAAACTATATCAAGTCAATACGAAACCATATCATGTAATATCGGAATATCATTAATATCTATGAACAACAACTAGAAACTTTAATTTGAACTTTAACTTAATGGATAGCGGTACTCATCCAAAGCGCATTACACAAACGACATATGGAAATCGGTCTAAAAATAGAACATATTTTTTTCGAAAATGGTCACGTGGTTTTACCTCGTAGTAGTAATGGGATAACCACATCAAAGAATGACATGACCACATCAAAAACTGAAACAAACACATCATGTAGTGTAAAATCGTCAAATTTTGAAACATCATTACGTAATGTTAAAGCCATATAAAGAATTGACAAATCATCATTACGAAATAACAAAACCACATCATGTAATGAAACAACTACATTACGTTAAGTCACATACATATCAAGTTATGTTAAAACCACATTGCCTAATGACACAACCACATTAAATAATGGTGAAACCACATCGAGTAATGACAAACCCATCTTAAGTAATGACAAAACTATATCAAGTCAATACGAAACCATATCATGTAAAATCGGAATATCATTAAGTAATGACTATTCCATATTGAGTTATATCAAAACATCATTACGTAATGTCAAAACCATATTATGTAAAGACAAACTATCATCAAGTAATAATAGAACAACATAACGTAATATCAGAGTTCCACATAAGACAGCTGTGGCGTTCCATACATAGCCGTGACTTCTTCGTGACCGTGATAGTAACTGAAAAAGAAAACAAATGATGTTCAGGTATAAAACAAAATACTTTGATGCTTTTTCTCTATTTCTTACATTAAAAATGAACATTACTTAAAAAACTAAGATATGGGCCAATTAAATACCTTAAGTTTGTAATGAGTCATCATAACAAAGTAAGCTTGTTTGAATAACAAACGATCAGACAAAGACCAAATTATAGGCAAATCTATCCTTGTTTAAAAAAATGCTTCACCCCCTTGAGACGTAAAATCTGACACCCCGAGCGACACATTACATTTCGATGAAGAATTAACTAGAAAACCAATAAATTTTGAACTAGGAGCTGTTATTTGGTTCAAATCTATGTTAGGATTTCATTTTTATATCAATCATACGGCAAAAAACCGACAAAAGTAGTTTTTTATCCTGAAACTTACATATGAAGTCTCAAAATCTGCAACACGAAAATTTGGGGAGAGTGTTTGAGAAAATGGAACACTGGACACGTTTGCTTCTACCTCCTGGAAATAAATTATGATTTGGTTCTTTCCTTGCAATACATTATTTGGTGCTAACAATTCTCAAAAAAGAAATTGTGATACTTTTACTTCCCTTGGTCTCTTTTTCTCCACTTCAAAACCGCCATCCCGTTTCATACATAGCCAACACCCCGCATGTGGTTTTCTACACAGTGAACTATTGGGATTTTGTATTCATATAATAGCTTCTCAAGGCCAAAAACATCTTGTTAAATTCTTTAAATTTTCGTTCAAATACACTAATGATGTTCGTTTGCCTACTGATATTTTAGCGAGTATTTGCATTTCATATATCACAGTGGACTATACATTTAGGATGCTACTAAAACGAAAAAGATTATTTCGTAAATAGATCATTGTCTTCAGATTGACACAGATGAACGACTTCGAAATATGATTTTTGACATTTCAGACGATTCCAGTTTCAGCAACGTTTACTCCCCTTTTCGGTAGGTAGATACGCTCTGCCACATCATATATGGCATTTGACGTTCATATTGTAAAAACGGGTTTGCTTATAACACAAAACGGATTCAGCCTCGATATTCAGAAGAAAAACTGATTTGGACATGTTTTTCTAAGTGCCGATTCATAGCTGGTTTTCAAACGTTAAAGTTTGAGCGTTACCGTTCCCGATTGAGAAAAGCGCCTTGTACGCACGAAATTAATGAAGATTTTTTTTTCATTTTTAAAATCACCATATCTTTGTTGTCTTATAACATATATCAGAATTGTCGTCTAATCTGTATTTGTACCATGTCCTACTCATTAAGCAATTGCGTGAATGATCTAATGCTATTTGGCACTGTAGCTCTCCAATGTGAAAATGGTACACTTGAGTTGTACAATTAGTCTCTTGTTTTTCTTTTCAGTGAAAGAGATCGTCTACTAAAAAAACAGGCCCCTCTACTATTTGGAACATGCTTCCTGGGCGATAGCTTCTCGGAACTTATGAAGATGATGGAAAAAATAGCCAAATTTGATCATCTGGTTAGTTTGTGATTGCCTCTATATATTTATTTATATACTGTTGCCCAAAGACAAAAAATACAAATAGAAAAAAATCATCACTATTGTAAGGTATAATTCATGATAATTAGGTGAATGTTTCATATTATTTCTGAAATGAAAACACGGTTTGTGCACTATTACATTTATTATCTACATAAAGACATGATTCCATGTCACGACGTGTTTGCACGTTTGTTCACGTTATATCTTAACTTCAATTTACAATATAAAATAAGGAGATGTAGTATGATTGACAATGAGGCAACTATACCATAAGAGTCCGATAGACGTCTATTTTAGAAACTATGTCACCGTACGACTTTCATTAATGAGTAGAACCCATAAAGTTGGTAGCATGTACTTAGCGGCTACTGGTACATCCGTGTGCATTCATTATATGGTTTATTTCCCCGGGAATGTGGTACCCAATGGATGTGACATAATTTTACCAGCATTATGAGTTTGATTAATATGCAATTCACAAATCAACTTTAGACCAAGTCATTTCAAAATCAACAGGGATTTTATAGTTGCATTATAGTAACACACTGTCGTGATTTTGCATAAAAACATCTATATAGAGAGGATCGCGTATGCTTATGTCTGTAGTTAACAAACATTAAAGATAAGTATATATTAATTGATATAATTCAAAAAAAAATCTGAAAACATTTATCTTCAAATAATTTATTTTCGATTAATTTTAATGTTCATTTATCCGGAGTCTATATGATAGTAAAGAAGATGGGCTGGGTTGATGTAAACATGTGTTGAATTCCTTATCACGAAAACAACGTCCATCACGGTACAGTGAATTTCTGATGACAAAACGGTCTACTTCTAAGGGTAACTTCCAAAGGGAGAAATATTAAGACTTAATACGATTAATACAGATGTTGTGATCCCGAGTAAATATATGAACTTACCCAAGACGCTGAGCAACTTCTTGGCGTTGATCGCTTAGATGGCTTTCTGGTATAATATTTGGTGACCGTCGTCTTGATTAGGTCTACCGGAAAGAGAGCGAAGGCATCATGGGATCGCTGCAACTTCCGGCAGGGTCTGGCTTAGTACCAACGAATACCACACTCCCCCCCCCCCCCGGCTTTATATTTTTGTTGTACGTTTAGAATTTCTTCAACATGGTTGCCAAATTGTCCAAAATTGAGATAATAATAAGGGTGAATTTTTCGACTGGGCCCCCTCAGATGAGAGGGGCCCAGATTAAACAAAAGTACTATTTCTATTTGTTTGGGGCCACTAAATTAAGTAGACCCTATTTGTATGTACAGCCAGCCCCTTACCCCTTCTAGCAACGATCCCAGCCTCCTCAACCCCTCTGTGATGCCCCCTTGATTATGTGGGGTTAGTGGGTTATTTGTTTCGACATGAAAATAATAATGAAAATAAACTTAATAATAACCTTCCTCTCTGGACAGATTTTTTGAAAAATTATGTACACATATTTACACCTCTTTTTTTTTTCTCCCTACCAAGACCCTATACAGGGCCCGTGCATTGCTGGTGGTGGTCTCCAGCAATGCCCAAAGGGTGTCCCTTGACCTAAATGCCAACAGCCCCATTGCCACCTCAGCAATATACTGGGGATGCCCATGGCTGTTATTGGGCACCCATGACGGCCTGAAATAGGGGGCATCACTCTCAAGTATGATCCTTTCCAGAGGGAGGGACGACACCGCTTGCCCTTGTTCCTGGTCGAACCTATTGACCTCCCCCGTATACCCAAAATAGACATTTGGGAACGCATCCCTCCACTGCCTTGCCTCCTGCATCCCCCCATCGAAACAATGGAGGTGGATCCTCTGCTGAGGGGCAACCCTCAGGAGATCCTCAGGAGCCCCTCTAACGTGAAGAATGAGGGGAACCTCTGGCCTTCCTTGGCATAGGTTCTGGAACCACCTTAATGTGCTTACTTGCCTCTGAAGAGGTGGGTCCCGCTGGCGTTGGTCCAGCCCAACTTCTATTGCCCTCACCCCAGGCAACCCCACCAGCTGTTCCATCTTGCCGAATGTACTGTCGTCCAGCTGATGGGCCTTTTTAGGGTGAACTATGGCCGTTACCCAGGGTGATCCCCTAGGGATTTCCCGCAAAGTCACTGCAGATGGCCACGCCCCTGGGTCACAATGGACCATCACACCTCTCACTAGGTCAACTGGGTTTCTGGGGGGGTGGGGGTGGGAAGGCGCATCTCTATGAACCGTCGCCGGTCCATCCTTCCTGTCATCCTCCACTGCCTCCACCCCCGGTCCAAATGAAAGTGGGAATCAAATGCAGGTGGTGTGGGGTCCCCAGCTGCACACTGTGTTTCCACCAGAATTTTCTTCCCTGGAGGGGAGTCGGAGGGAGACCTCAGAGGATATATTCCTCCGCCTGTCCTAGCTGGCCTGCTGGGGACCCTGTGGCTGCCCTGGGTCCCTGCAACCTGAACATCCCCCTGAAGGCCTCTGCCCTATCTCCTAGCTCTCCCATTATGGCCGCCTGGACCCTCCAATCAATGAGGGCTCCAGGGGAGTTAACTGGTGCTGTGGAGAAGTAAGGGGGAACTGGTCGCCCCCTTCAAGACATACTCCCTCCATTTGACCCTGGACAGCCTGCCCAATGATGTGGGGCCGGGTAATCGCCAGTCGGTTAATGTGGGCCACCAAATCCTCCAAATCCCCGCCCACTAACATCCATGCCTGAGCCTGTAAAGCAGCAACCCTGATTGGCACAAGAGAAGCCCTTGATGACCCTAGGGGTTCACCAAATACTTCAGCAACATGCTCCAGCATCACATGTGGCTGAATATTAAAGCCCTTATGGGGCAACCCTGGATGGGGCACTTTTGCAGGGTGGGGAGGTCGCTCTCCCTCGGTGTGTTGTCGTATTGGGGTGCCCTCTGGCCTGACACCCCAGTCTCCCTAAGCGTATAGTCGTGTTGGAGTGTCCTTTGGCTTGACACCCCTGTCTCCCTTGCCGTTAAGTTTCCTTGGGGTGTTCTCTGGCCTGACACCCCAGTCTCCCTCTGAGTAAAGTTGTCCTGGGGTGTCCTCTGTCCAGACACCCCAGTCTCCCTTGCCGTATAGTTTCCTAGGGGTGTCCTCTGGCCCGACACCCCAGTCTCCCTGTGTGTATAACTGTTCTGGGGTGTCCTCTGTCCTGACATCCCTGTCCCCTTTGCTGTGTAGCTGCGTTGGGGTGTCCTTTGCCACGACATCCCAGTCTCCCTTCTTTCTCCTCCCTGTTGGAATGTGTTCTGTGCGGACACCCCCGCTCTACCCCTCGATCCAGTCTGGGGTGTCCGCCTCTCTTGGGCGTCTCTTAAGGCCCTTTGTCTCCTAGCGTTTTCCTCTGCAAGGCGTTCTTTTTGCCTATTCCTCCTCCTCTTCCTTTCCTGGGTTGTCTCCTTTTTCACTTGAAAACCCCTACCCAGTGGAGGCGCGCTGTGAGCATCCCGCTCGGCTGGAATGCCCACAGGGGTGCCCCTAGCCATCGGGACAGCGGCCCCTAGAGTACTCCTGGAAACGGAGCATCGGCTCCTTCCTCCACTTGGGTCCCTAACTGCTCCCTTCCTACTACCTGACCGAGCCCTTTCCCTGGAATTAGGGCTCCCATCCCTGATGCTCCTGCTAACTGCCCCGGAACCCCACTCCAAACTCGTATCCCAAGCCTTTGGGGATGGGTCCCTGTGGTCCCCAGAGATGGCTTCCCCCGGGACCACAGCTTCCACCTCCTGGCCCTTGGTATCTCTCAGGCTTGGGGTATCCCTTTCAACTGAGGGGACCCTATCTCGGTGTCGTCCCCCGGGGCTTACCTCCTCTCTCTTCTTTTCCCTCTTCTCCTCGGCAGCCCAACTCCTCTTCGGGCTGCCTCCAGCACTCTCGTCACTGGACATCTCTAATGCTCCCTGCAAATACAAAAATAAAACATTTTGAGGGCCAAACATACTGACATCTGGCCTCGTCATTAAATATAACAGTTATCTAACTAGATAAACATGAACAGTGTAACTAGTTGCCTTCATATGTACAGTCTCTTAAACTATATACACTGACTTAAAAACTCCTTACAACAACCTCCTTATGGCACTCTATTCTGAACCCTTCCTACGGGCTGACCTCCGCAGTCCAGTAGGGTTCAGACTAGCTTGCGGTGGGTCTGGTTTACTTTTTTGGATCTTACAACGTTAACCAGAGCATATATAGTCCTGGTTCTCCCACTCTTCAGCTTCCTGTGGGGAAATTCCCACGCACCTGCCATGGTACCACTCACTGCACTTGTCACAGGAGATCATAAACTCCCCTGTATAAGGTCCTCGGCAAGTGCAGTACAGTGCCCCAGTACTTCCAGTTGAGACATTCGTTTTCCCGCCCTCAGTTGATTGCAGGGTGGGGAGCATAGGGTCCACCCCGATAGGACCTTGGACACTAGCTTGAGAAGGGGTTACAGGGTTATTAAGGTGCATTGCTTGGGCCACCCCTCCCTTTTGGAGCTCTACTATTGCCCGGTTGACCCATGCCGGTAGCTCCCTATCCCTACACAGCTTTAAACGGTCGTGATTCACCGTGGTGAGAGCTTTCTTCATTTTTACCTTATACAGGTAAGGGGAGATCCTTTCTAGGATGATCCCCGGTTCCCTCCACATAGGGCTTAGCTTCTTACACTTTCCTGGCAGTGAAGCTGTGTCCAACTTATAAACAACGTCCCCTACCTTGTACTGACGGGCAACTACCCTGAGATCGTAGGCTTGCTTAGCTCTGAGCTGGGAGGTTTTGAGGTTTGCCCTCGCAATTTCATGGGCAGACCTTATGGCCTCTTCCAAGTCACCCACATACCCTGCAAGGTCTGGAGGTTGCCCCGTTTTTGGCGGCCTGAACATTAACTCAGCAGGGAGGTTTACCTCTCTGCCCAACATGAGGCGATTGGGGGTAAACCCGGTAGATCTATTCACTGATGCCCTGATTGCCCCCGCTAATTGG